GCAAGTAACCGTTATGCATGTTATGTTTTCATGGGTGTGGATCTGTGAAGGTAAATTTCCGAACCAAAAATTTCAAGAAAATCATAATTTCTGAATAATAGTAGTAATAATTATGATGCTTTTTAAAAGGGAATTGGATGTTTAATAGGAGGATGAGGATCAAGATGAGGAAGGGTTGGTGTAAGAATCTAAGATGCAGGATATCTATATCTTAGGATTTAGGGGAAAGGGAATCTTATCAATCAACTAATCCGAGTCTTTGAAATTTGATCAAATTGCTAAAAACAAGAGGTTCTTTAAAAATTATAATAACTTTAACCGTTAGATTAAATTTTAAAGGTTCAGATTTGTTGATTGACAAGATTTAATGGAAGTGATCTAGAAATTATCCCTTTCCGGATATAGGAAAGTCTTAACATTTTTTTAGGCAGATTGTCTGCCCTTCCCATCCCCTTTTATTTGTGCGATCACGGTTAAGTCACATCAACATTTTATATTCTTATTATTTTTTGTCTCATTATCTCTATAAAAAATTTAATATAAAATATTAACATGGTTTAATCGTGACCGCACAAAATATAAATGAATGAAAATGGCACCCAAACAGGACGGCAGATCTGCCTCCAACATTTTTTTCTCTCTTTTTTACTGTCATCATGTCATATTTGACAACTGATAGATAGAATATAGGTTGGTGAAGTGCAGGTGGTTGGTTTTCTCACTTGGTCGCTGGTGCTTTTGACAATGAGTCATCATTTGGCCAGCGCCCGCTGAAGGCCGGTCCCAAACTTTCAATCCAACTTTTTAATTTACAGTGACTTGTTAATTTAATTTTTAAATGATCGCCTGAATAAAAATTAAGTTTTTAAATTAATTTTTTTTTTTTAAATCAGTCATTGAATTATAAAAATATGTCAATTACATTTCTAATATTAGATTTGAAACTACTATATTTCATTTTCCGTCAATTTAGGTCACGTTACTTGCATGTAATACACATTGGAGGGTAGATTGATAATTTTTCATAAATAAATAGTGTATGGAGTTAACTTTGGAGGGTAAATTAAAGGTTAGATTCGCAATCTATATGAAATGTTAAGGGCTTATAAATGAGAAAATGACAGTATGACACTCTAAAGTGTGTCGTGATTTAAGTTGACGAAAAAATTGGATAAAATAACTTTGAATATAATATTAGGGATGAAATTAGCAATTTTTAATGAATTTATGAACTTATTTATTGAAAAAAATCATTTAGGGACCTAATTTTCACTGAGATGATAATTCAGGGACTAAATTAGCACTTCACCCTCTATTTTATTACGTAGGACTTGAATCAAAGGACCCTCTATTTTATTACGTAGGACTTGAATCAAAGGTGCGTTTAAGAATTGAGATTTTATATTTAGATTGAATAGGACTTCAGCCTGTTACGATTGAGAATTGAAATTGAAATTGAAACTAACGACCAGTTTTGCCATTCTTTTTGTTAATCTTCAAACACATTTTTTTTTCCCTTATATTCCTAAATGATCATACATTCACCAACCATCCATCACTACCTATCCGCGTATGAGGGAGTATTTTTGCTCATTACCATTTAATATGGTGTATGCTCACCATTCTATTTATCATCGTTAGATGAGTTTGAATTTCGAGATTTGTGTAATGGATATGAACAAATCTCAAAATTCAAACTCATTTAACGGTAATAAATAGGATGATAAACATACACCAAATTAAATGGTGGTGAACAAAAATGCATTATGCGTATGACAACCTACATTAATATTATAGCTAAATTCAAATTACATACCTATTACTTGAAGGGGGAGAATGAGGAGAACGGAGTAGACGATCAGGTTCAGAAGATTTATGAGGAGGAAGAGAGGGTGAGCATGAAGAGGGTGGCTAGGTGCAAGTTGTTTTTTCCAGATTTTATTAATTATTTTTTTAATATTTATTTATATTTGTCACTCCATGTGTCTTGTTTGGTGTGCAAAAGTTACGACAGGTCATCAGTTGAGTTGACATAAATTCTAACGGAAGTAGGAAAGCGACCTAAAAATCAAACTATATGGTATGAATGTGAGAAGCAAAAAGTAAGTGTAGTAAAATGTAATTTGTGTGAAACTTGAGGTAGTAAAATAGAATTACCCAAACTAAAAATATGATATTTTAGTTTACAGTTGTTTGAGATTAGGTATTTAAATTAAAAGTTCCCTAGTATTATTAGGAATAATTAAGGACCACTAATATCTCTACTATAAATCCTCGTTGTATTTGAGAACAAAAACATGCTAAGCCTAAAGTTAAATCAGCTACGTCTGTGATAGTATTTGGAGAATACCTATAATGTCATACATATATACATACAACGCACGCATGTATAATTTTTTTCGAAAGATAAGTATAATTAAACTCGAATCACAACGTTTATGTCGGAAGTTATTGAACAACCACTCTAGTTCAAAAGAATCTCATGTATGAAAGCTACCTATGCTAGAGACAAACAAAGCCACTAGATGCGCTGCCCTATTACAACTTTGAGGAGCAAATATAAACTCTACTACTGACCTCAATTGCATTTGCACTCACTTAATGTTAAAGAGAAGACCTTTTTTTTTTTTTTTTTACTATCGTTGAAGAGAAGACTTTTGACAATGACATTTGGTTTTGTTGTTCAATTGATCATATCCACAAGCCCCTTAGAGTCCGTTTCCACTTGAATCACATAAAACCCTCTATCCAAGAAAACAAGGCTGCTCGTAAACCCTCTTCTTCTAATTATACAACGCATGTATAATTACAATAACAAAAACAAGTTAGTCCGGTCCCGACATTAATTATAACATTATTAAGATAATAACACCGTGCCAGGTTGGCTCCCATGCAACCATGCTAGCTAGGTTGGTTGCCTTTCTCCACGCATGTATACAACGCATGTTGGTTGCCTTTTATAGAAACTGAGAGGAAAATATCTTTCTGAAATATTACAATTTCATTACTTAACAAAAATAATTACATGAGTATGGTATTTATAGTCATAACATCAATAACAACCAATAACCTTTCTAACTAACTTGTACACATAGCACATTACAATTAGTTAATTAAAAACAGAATTTATGTCATGATTTGGCATCCTCATCTTTACACCCCTCAAGCTGAGCTTGGAAGAAGTTGGAGTTCCAAGAGATAGCTTGGATTGAAGAAGAAGAAACCGGTTCTTGGTCAAAGATTTAGTGTGAATATCAGCAATTTGGTCCTCAGTACACACATACTGAACTTAAAGCAGATTAGCAAGAACCAACTCTCGAATGTAATGATAATCTATCTCAACATGCTTTGTTCGAGCATGAAAGACAGGATTGGAGGCAAGAGAGATAGCAGATATGTTATCACACCAGATTGTAGGTTTGGAGGATAAGGGAAAACCAAAATCATGAAACACCTTGCAGATCCATGTAATTTCAGCGGCAGTATGGGCCAGAGATCGATATTCAGCTTCAGTGGAGGATATAGCCATTGTAGCCTGCTTTTTAGCACTCCAGCTGATTAAGTTTGTGCCAAGATATAAGCAAAAGCCGCTGGTGGAACGACAATCAAATAAACAACCAGCCCAATCGGCATCAGAAAATGCAGAAAGATGAAGAGAACTTTTCTGAAACCATAAACCATGATCAGAGGTGCCCTTGAGGAATCGAAGAATCCTTTTAGCAGCTTGCAGATGAAGTTCAGTGGGAGTATGCATGAATTGGCAAACTTGATTGACAGCAAAAGAGATATCAGGCCTAGTCCAAGTCAAATATTGTAAGGCACCAACCAGGGATCGATATTCAGTGGGATTGGAGAGAGGAATGCCACTGTGATCCAGTTTAGTAGTGCCAAGAGGAGTACAACATGGCTTGGCACCTTCCATTTTGGTTTTCTGAAGTAAATCCAGAAGATATTTGCTTTGATGAAGAAATAATCCTTTTGATGATCGTTGAACTTCCAACCCCAGAAAATAGTGAAGAGGACCTAAGTCCTTGACTGGAAACAGAGACCCAAGTTTCTGAATAAACTGCTTGCACACTGACGGATCAGGACCACTGATCAATATGTCATCCACATAAACCAATACTATAACTAGAACAGGATCTTTGATGACAAAGAGAGATGCATCATAACAAGATTAAGTGAAACCAAAGGACTTGAGAGCTTGAAAGGGTTTATCAAACCATGCCCGAGGAGCCTGTTTGAGGCCATATAGAGACTTTTTGAGTTTACACACATGATTTGGCAGATTAGAATCAGTAAAACCAGGAGGTTGTTGCATAAACTCAAAAACATAGCACATTACAATTAGTTAATTAAAAACAGAATGTATGTCATGATTTGGCATCCTCATCTTTACCTTTCTCATCATGCGTGCATGGAGGTTTTGTCAATATCGGTAATAAATTAATAATTAGTTAATGAAGCGAGTAATGATATTCATACTATGTTTTTATACCACATTTTTATACCACCGTAGCATCTGATGTGGACAGCCACATCATTTGAAAAATTTGCAAAACCCAAGGAAAGGAAGGAGAAAGACTCCTCGTATACTACAATCATCATTTAAGTAACTAGTTTTTCTTAAATATTAGTTTATTAAATAATGAACTAAATTTAAAAATTTGATTAATTCAAATGATATGGCTGTTCACATCAAATGTCACCTAGGGTGGTATGAAAATGTGGTACAAAAATATGGTATGAATAACATTACTCTAATGAAGCACATTTACTTGTTAATCATCGGCTGCAATATTAACCCCAACGCTTTATGCTATTGCACACAAGTCTTCTATTAATTTAATTCGACGACGGAGAAGAATTAATAAAATGATGGGAAAGAAAAACATCAACAAGAACATTCCTTAATTTGTATAGAAACTAAAAAGGAAAAATATATAATAGAATTTGAACACATATATTTAATTAAATGTACACAAGTAGTAAACAATAATTTAGAGTAGGGTGAGAGTGTTGAGCAGTGAAACCCTAGCGTTGATTAAACTCCTGAAAACTGTTTCGGAGCAAGTTTCAATCCCAGCCATGGACGCCTCCAATTCCTGCATCTTCTTTAATGTTGTTTTGACTTCTTCATCTCCTTTCTTTTTCAAGTTACGCAAGCTCCCAACTCCGATATTATTACTAACTCGTACTGGGTTTTCGTGACGATCAGTACATAATTGATTATCTAACGTTGCCTTGATGTTGAATATTCCCATCCACGTTGCCCGCATTGACGACGTGACAGTCGATTTGGATGATGATATTGTGGGCCCGCCGAATGATATGTCTGCCGCGACTCCAGTAAAAAGTGCAAGAGACACCGCGACCGTCACTTGAACGACCTCGCTCATAACACCCGCCAGCTCATGGTCAACGTTATAGTAACTAATATCGTCGCCAACGTACTCGAACGGCGTGGCCGCGGCCGGTGCTGGCCGTGCGATGGAACGAAGTGCGTTGACTAGCTTTATCATTTCCTTGGCCATTCTCTTTCTAGCTTTGACGTACAATGCTACCTGGGAGTCGTTTCTCTTCCTCAAAGCCACTTGAGCAGCGGAGTGATCCTGTTTGAGAGCCAAAACGGAGGTGCGGAATATTCCGTAGATGTCGGCAAAACGGAGGAATTGGTCGAGAAGGTTATCGACGGAGCAGCAGCCTTTGAGACGGCGGAGGGATTCTTGGGTTTGGGGAAGGCGGAGAGTGTCATCGAGGCAGTGGTGCAAGTCTTTGAGGCGGGTCAAGCCTTCGCATAGCCAATCGGAGAAGGGGGCTGAGGAGGAAGAGGAGGAGTTGGTGGTGGAATAGGAATATTTGAAGGATTGAAGGCTGGCTATGTGTTCTTTGAGGTGGGAAATGAAGGGGTGGGGTCCGGTTGGAAGACTGATGGATCTGGTGTGACGAGACAACGGCGGTCGGACTTTTGATGGACGGTGGTTACGGTTATTTGGAATATTGCTTGGGTTTATTTTGTTTGGGAAAGAGAGAGACCGCCGGAAAACGCCTACCATGATTTCTTTCCTCGAAGACCTGCGTATTAGTTGAGATATGAGTTGAGACTTGTGGAGATGGGGTTGATGGTTGCATTATATCTTGCATGGGATATTTATATACAAAGGAGAGGGAAATATTAGTTAAGAGGTAACCCTAGCTAGCGCCGGAGGTACACGAGGGGGATATTATTAGATAATCAGCGATAATCAAACATTAATCAAAGTAATTATAATGCATACTAATTGGATCAATAGTTGGATTAGATTAGATGAATGGAACGATCGGGCAGGCAGTTAACCCTAATACGAGAGATTTTTCAGTGTAACCGTCATACGAGGTGGTACACACGAGTTGGTACATCACGTGTCTCTATATAAAATTATAAATTGTGGGATATGTGTGTTAAAAGGTTAATAACTTAAAAATTAAAATTTTCCACCATTTACATAAAAACACGTGATATACCATTCGTATTCCCGTCGTAACTAAAAAAATTTCCCCTAATACAGGCTATACAGCTGAGCTGTCAGCAGTGTACTTATCCCTCAATCATGTGGGAATGGGGGACACACCACGTGGTTTCGACACACTGGCCACCCTTGACTGTTCCATCAATTTCTGATAGCCAATGTTTTTTAGTTTTTTTTACTGTCAATTAAATTACATCCGCATACATATCTTCAATGGGTGATACAAAAACAAAATCCTTCAAATGTAAATTTTATATTTCTTATTAATTAGCCGGAAAAGCTCTTCAATATATTGATATAAAATATCCATATGTGGAATCCACATGTGGTGGCTGTTTTAGTGGTTACTCAAGTTTGTTTGTTTAAACTTTTCACTCCAGATCGATTTTTTTGTCACTAAAATAATATACCCAATTAGCACATCTATATCTGTTTGTAATGTTTTAATAAAATATTACTCTATTCCTTCTTGTAAATAATAATAATAATAATAATAATAATAATAATAATAAATAAATAAATAAATAAAATATATATATATATATATATATATATATATATAAAGGTGTGTCCTATGAGATATAGACAAAAATAAATGAGATAAAAAAAATTTGTATTTTCTCCATTAGAGTGGAATCAACATCAAAATGCAAAATAAGTCCAAATGTGATTTTTACATTTCAAATTTGCGTAACTCTAGAATATGTTAATTTTGTGTAGAGATGGCATTATATTTGGAGCATCTCCCCTGGTTTTAGAATTCCAGAAACGCTGTAAAACCTTCATGCATATGCTTGGGAATCCAGACACGACAATCTTTGACAGAAGGGGGCTGAAGAAATTGTCGTTTCAAGACGTAGCCAGCTCAAATAATTATTCATGGGCATTGATTTTTTAAATTTGATACAACATTAATTCGAAAATAAGTAAGAGATTCCGTGTCCCGTGGTCCATGCATGCATAAAACTCTCCCATTCCAGGCCACTAGGACATTAGTTATTAAGTTAGCATGATACACCGGCAAAGGTTGTGGGTTCTATTTTGCAGCCCGTTTTATATACGTCCTATATATGCAGTGGCATTGAGTCATCCCACGATCGAATTAGAGCTAGCTTGCGATATGTTGAAAGGTACATTCTCTACTTATTATAACAACTAAGAATATCTGTCACGTTTTTAATTGTCATTTCTTAATTAATTAAATAAATTTGAAGAACTTGCTGATGAGTCCAGAACTGCACAACTTGTCATAACTAACTGGACGGAATTATTATTGATTTTAGGGAAAATTAGGTTAACATCCTTCTTTTTGTTACTCCATTGATTAAAATCCTATTCATTATTAATTTTTGATCAAGGTCCTTGGGTATTAATAACATCATTAATTATTTGAATAATAAAATATTTTTATTTTTAAATATATTCCTTTAATGTTAAAAATGTTACAATTAGTATATTTATATTTATGGCTAAATTTTTTCATCATATAATTTTATTTTTAGTTTGTACCTATTTTTAATTTGCAAATATTTTTTAATTTGTACCAATTTTCTTTTCATTTTTAATTTGTACCCATATATTAGTTCCTTTTTGTGCCCATATTTTTTAAAGTTTTATTTGTGTTTGTACCCATGTATATACTGTCACGTGACATTGTATATTTAATCAATAATAGAAAAATTACATATGGTATATTTATGTTTTATGCCTAAACTTTGTATCATATATTTATATTTTTAGTTTGTACCCACTTTTAATTTGTAACATTTTTTTTAAATTTGTAGTATTTTCTTTTTATTTTATTTTGTACCCATGTACTAATTTCTTTTAGCGACTATATTTTTAAAAATTCATTTGTATTCATAAATTTTAATCTTTTATTTGTACCCTAATTTATTTCTAATGTACCCATTCTCTTTATTAATGTACCACTTTGTTATATGTGAAATGTACCAATTTTTTTTGTAAAAATGTACCAATTTTTTAACACTATGGATACATTCTTTTGCCATTTATTATTTCTTATTTTTACATATTTTTTATCCATTTATTCAATCAAAATGTTTGAATTTTTTTATTGTAACCGTTTCTAATAGTATTATAATGAGGGATTTTAAATTTATAGGATTATAAATCTCATAAAAATATCAAATAATTAATGTCAAAACTATAAAAATATAAATATTAATAGTAATATAATGAGGTGTACAAAGTCAAGGGACCTTGATCAAACTTTGAATAATATTAAGGTTTTAATCAAAAAATGTTAAGGATTAGGGACCGCATCCAAAATATCCCTTGATTTTATATGTTTTTGGGAGACTATAATTAAGGAGAGAGGATGGTTGACGGTGCTCAAGCGCGTCAAAATTAACTGATAATCAATAATCACAAGTAGTAGTATGTTGGAATTATATATATGTATAATATATATATATATATATGTATAATATATATGTCATAACTAACTGGAAGGTTGTTTGAGAATTGAGTTAGTTGATCAGAATATGGTGTATAATTATATATATGTATAAAATATACAATATGCAGGACTACCAATATATAATAATTAGTGACCAAGTTTTCAAGGTACATGAACATGATTGGGGGAATAAAAGACAAGCAAAAACAAATAATCAAGTGGCACAAATTAGTTAAGAAGAATGATGCATAGACCATTACCAATTTACCACCAATATTATCATTCTTCAGTCTTATAATTAATAATTAGTGAGGGTCCAACTTTTCAAGGTGATTATTTGGGGGAACAAAACATGAGCAAAAACAAATAATCAAATGCCAGAAAAGATGAACAAAACCAAATATCAAGTGGCACAAATAATGAACACATATAAAATGCATGCGTGATTGCCCAAGACTACATGTCCAAGTAACGGGTTAAGAAGTTGAAATCAACTTTTATGGCATGGCTACACCGGCATAGTGGTGTTCCGTGCGGGTAATACAAAGACAAGTAAAAAGAATTAGCACATATTCTCTTATTCTTGACACAAAATGTTGTCGTACCACTTATAACTGTGTCATACAAGTTATTTTCAGAAGCTTGGTCTTATAAGGAGCTTTGGACTGCAACTAGCCTAAACTAATTGAGTGCGTTAGAAAACATTTTTTTTTCTTTTCGCAACTTGGGGCTAAATCTATTTATTGTTAAGTTAAAAATGTCATATACGCTACTGGGAGCATTTTTGCTCACCACCATTAACTATAGTTTGCAAATTTTGTCTTCAAATTTAATCTCTCTAGCATTATCTTTAAAAAAACATGTAAAAAAAGAGAGAGAGAGAGAGAGAGAGAGAGACAAGTAGCAAACTAAGAAATGGATGGTGAGCATCCACCAAAGTTAATGGTGTTGAGCAAAAAATTTCCCTATATTTTAGCCTAGCCTAAACAATACTATTTGGCCCTACGATTTGTCCTCCGTGGGTTTGCGTAGCTGATTTTAGTACATGTAATTAAACAGACATGCTTTGCCATCAAATTGTCAGTGGCTTCTGCCAAGTGAGGGAGGTTGCTTGGAGGCAGAAGGCAATGAGAAGACATGGAGGTTCAAACAAGAATCAATTACTCATGAAGTAGCTATCTCAAGCTCAAAATGTCAATTTGATATGGTCTTACCCGGTTGAAACCTAACCTTTACTTGGGTTAAATTCTACTTCTACTAGATTGACAGTTCTGGTTTCTCTCATTTTCCTTGAAGGGGTGTGATATCCACACACCCCTTTTTATTTCTCTCACACCTTTTTTATTTTCGGCCGTCGGATCGAATGAATTGAAGAAGATCAACGGATATAAATTATCAAAAGGTGTGTGAAAAGTAAAATGGGGTATATGGATAGCACACCCCTTCCTTGAATTTTTATTCTGTGTCTGTAGATTTTGGTCCATACACATTGGATTTCACCTCAAGTAGTCGGTATATAGTGATTGGTGGGCGCAAGGGTCATCTGGCTATTGTAGACTTGATGAATACGAGGCTGGTTAAAAAATTTCAGGTATGTACTGTATGTTCACATGTCCGAGTCTTCGTATGCGAAGTTTGAATAAGTTTGAATATATAAGTAGGAAAAAAAATAAATATATATATATATATAATATGTCTGTTTATATATATCAAAGTTATTTTCGGAGAGAAGTGAAAGGAATCATGCAAACTTTTAATTGTTTAACTATTGAATTGTTGGCTCCACCTCGTGCAAACTTTAGTTTATGCATACAATTTTTGAGTCATGTGAATGTAGATTGTCCAAATGTTAAAGCAGTTCTTTTTTAAATTGAATTCAATGTTGTCAGGTGATATTTGTACAATTTTCTCTTTTTCTAAATGAGGTGCTAGAACGGTGGGTGCTTGCGTTATTTGTACCTGAGGGTTTGGCCGTAACACGGGGCTGATTAACTAACTATTGATTTTCAGGTTGGGGAAACAGTGCGTGATGTTGTGTTCTTGGACACTCATCTCATGAGTTCTTTGCTGCAGCCCAGGAAAAGTATGAGACTGTTTGCCATTTAAGTTATTTTTATCTGTTTTG